AGCTTTAGCCGCAATGAGAGTAAATTTTTCTTGGGTTTTGGTTAAAAATGATGAAATATTGCGTTTTCAATAAAGAAAAAAACAAAACAAAATAAATTTATTGGAAAGCTTTTTTTATTGCATACAACATAAAAACAAATCGTCAAAAAGTTTGGTTAACTGTTTAAAGAAAGATTTTCATTCGTTTTGATTAATTGCGAAATTCATGTTCAAATATTTCACTTTAAGCTGTTAAAAGTTCAATTTTATTTATGTTCACACATGTGTAAACATATTTATGGTTACTTACAACTTACTTACGCTTCCGAATAAATTTTTCCATTTGTATTATTTCTAGATCGTCAGTTTATCTTTGCAATTCAGTTACATATAAAATGTTAGCAGAAACGGTTCAAAAATACTTTTTCGTTATTTAGATTTTGTTTAATTTTGCTGACTCAATTCAAGTCAATCATGCTCATATTCATCATAATTAAGACACGTGAACTTTATCAACATAAATTGAACCATAAATAAATAATAAAAAAATAAAAAAAAACATAATTTTATTATGAGCAACTTTTTGTCATTAACCAATTGCATTAATAGTATATGTTTTATAAAAAAGAATTTTTTGTGTTAAGAGAAAAGCGCAGAATATTGAACAGAGATCTTCGTTTTGTGTATTACTTAAGAAATTATCTAAATAATTTCGTTTAATTTCGTATCTAAAGATTTGATGGATAATTATTATAAACAACGTATGCATACACGCCTTCTTAGATGCGCATTTTCGATAAACACTGTTCAAAAAGAATTTTTTCCATATAGTTTCAGTAAGATTCGACTAAATATTTGCAATAATCTTTTAATGGAAGTAAGCAACGAAGTGAATGATTGGTTTTCGACAAAATTGTTTATGGCCAATTTTCTTTTTAGAATATGTTCTGTGGACTAAGAATATGGAAAAAATTGAAGGCAAATGAATGTCTGGCGCAATGATAACCGGATAGGCTGTTATGTAGTGATAAAATAGTTCCATATAAGTAAATGAATGATTGTCGTACGGAAGAGGAGACGGACAGTGATGTGTTTTCTTGAATATTTTGATCCAAAAATCAATCAGTGCGCGACTCGTTCTTCGTTCCAGTTTATCAAATAAGTCTTTCAAGTGTCTTTGTGAAAATCCCAATTTTCGACAGAGGCTTGTAAGTACATCACTATTCATTCGTCCAGCGCCTGGTGGGAAAGTCATCACCAAATTCAAAGCCGTATATCGAGGCCTTTATTGTTTATTGAGCCATACGCAATAAACATATCTGGTTTCTCCAGTGCAGTTTAGGCCCCTAGCTTGTAGAGATTGCGCCAACTCTTTGGAGGGCGTCGTTTACGCAAAATTACTCAGTGGGGTTAAACCGACAGGGTAGAGTGCCCACGTGAAACCATCAAAGACATCCTTACCAACTTTTATACACATTTAGCAGACTATCCAATAAAACGTTCCAATCGTTCCATTCAAAATGATTTCAATACCAGCAATTCTTCCCCTTTTTTCCTCATCAAACCGCCATATGGACAACTATTTTGGCACTTTTTGGGATTTAGTTACAAGTTTCCTGGACAAAAACGCAGATAAAGTAACTTCCATTCTCATGATGGAAACCCTCTCTCCCTCATAGTGCAAATTTTTCCCACCGGGAGCTATGCATGCGGCTTCGTCGTTCGAAGTATATATCTTCACAATTCGTTTGAGACATGCTATCTTTTACTTCTTAGATATAAAGATAAAACCATTATTAAACGGATCCTTTTAGAATCCTCAAGAGGAAACCCATATATTACTTAACTTTAGTGAAATGGCAAAAATATACATAAGAATATTCGATCCTAAAATTCATCAACGAGTGAGACTACTTGGCTACTCTTCTCTCATCATGTTTCATGTGCAAATAAGTACTCCCGTTAACACACGCACATGACTTGGAGGAAAAGTACTTTAGTAGAATAGTTGCTAAATTAATTTTCATGTGAACCTTAACACATGATACTATATTCTTAAGGATAAGTTTCTCGACACTCGAAATGCTATTGTAATCGTGATTAGAACCATTGAAATGCTTCTCCGTTCCTTCGTTGCTTTATGTTCTTTCATATCTCTCAACAAGGGGTCGCTGCTTTAAACTATTCAACACTTTGAAGCGTGCCCATCTGTCTGTCCGTACAATTGTCATAGCTAGTTTTCCCAACCGTTGTTGTTTTCAACTGTTTAGCATTCATTCGAAACATGTCCATCCGTCTTTCCATGCGTATGTCATAATAATTGTGACACAAACATGATATTTGGCGGAAAGTGCTATAAGTAGTAAAGATTGCCTGGTGCTTTACTAGTCGCCGCCAAAGAGGACTAAGAGGTATATTTATAGCTTAAGTCCAAGAGTGATTCGTTCACATATTGGCTTTAAACGAAGGAAGCTAATAACATGAAATTATTTTTTATCAATAAATAAATAGATGTCGATCTGAAACGTTGTACAAATATGATCCGTATAGGTGGCAAGCGGATCTTGAATATACGATTAATTCAAAATTATTTCTTTCTGTGTATAAACATTTGCTTAAGCTATTTTCCCCATTTAATAATTCTCTGCTTTTATTTTATAATACCTTTCGAAATTATTGCTAACATATACACTTTCAGGGCCAACATCGATAACAAAAGTTGTGACATATGTGCAAAATATCGAATTTAAATGCAAATAATTTCACATTTAAAAAAAACAATATTTTTATAATTTAGGAAATGCTACACACGCACACAGAACCGGTTTGAGTTTATATTCAGTTATGAGTACAGTGCTTCTCTAGAGCAGCAGCATTATTTTAGAAAGCAGCATTGTTTGCAATCACAATGAGGAACTGAGAACGAAACATTTTTGCCATCATCATTCTTTACGTTTCGTGCTATAGAGAAATATTTATGAGTAACAAGTGTGACGTTATTATTGTTCAAACGTAAACGGAATAGCGTGCTAACGTATGCTTTTCACGTGACTTGAACTTTTTCACGTAGACATGTAGAAATGTATACATGTAGTTCCGGGTGATATGCTTAAAGCAAGTGTTTTTGATTTGTAATTTTCTTTCTTATTTTCTTTTTTTTTTCTTCTTTAATTACAATCGAAGGCTTCTTTCTACACGAGCCATAATTCCCTCAGGTATCACCGATACAGATCCATGCAGATTCTGCCAAGGGACTAGCGAAACATTCCATCATATATCCTATGCGAATGCGAGGCCATCTGCAGAATCAGGCACAAAGTGTTTGCAACACTTCATAACGCCAGATATGCTATGAAGTTCCGAACCAAAGAAGTTGGTGGGGTACATGAGAATTCTAAAACGGGAGTGGCTAGA